TGTCACAAAGAACTCTTAACTCCGAACAGAGTAAGCAGGGGGTTTATAAAGGCAAAAACCATGAAAACTGTATAGTTATGATTATATTTTTTGGTAGAACATTTGCATTTTTCACTGTGTAAGGATATAGTTAGATTAGATATGGAACTTGTGGTTAGGGAGTTTTTAGGCATTGAAGGGAACAAGAATGTGGGCTTTTGATTATGGGATGGTTATAATGTGTGATTATGGGAAGGTTTTTGTAGGGGTGTCATCTCTGGGTATGAACAGATAAAATGGAGAATCTGTTACAAAATGGAGTTATTTATGTTAAGCAAGTTATTATAGGTTATTATTGGTTTTACAGATATTTTATCCTCCCCCCTTTTTTTTCCATGAGTCAGTGTGTTGATTCACTAGTCATAATTATATTATTGTACTGGGGCCTTATATATATAAGTTTTATAGAACTGATTCATTGTTTGACAAAATAAATAATCTAATTTATTGTGCAGGGCCCTATAAGTAGACCAAGGAGGAGAAGTATGAGAGGCCCAACCAGACTGCTAATAAGAGCAGTTAACCATGGGTTTTAATTGAGCAAGGACTGAAACCAGGATTTTTTTTTTTTTTTTTTTCTTTTAGTCACCTGTCCAAATTCTTTGGAACCCGCTGGAGGGTGTTTTTAATAAGCCCTAATTGTTGGCATAAAAACAGCATGATTTCTCTTGTGCTACACAGAGATCTCCTTTTCCGAAGGTAAAAGAGAAGAGAAAGTTCTCTTTTCCGAAGGTAAAAGAGAAGAGAAAGTTTTACTTTTTACAGGCAAGAAGAGGGCCTACACTCTAGATGAGTGTGGCCCCGTAGCCCCCCAAGCCCTGGCTTAAATCCTTTCCCCTGGAGATGTTACAATTAGATAGACATGACTGTTGTGATTTCCTTGTTGACCACTTGTGGATGTCTTGGAGACCTTGAGGGAGGTCCTGGTGACCATGTACTGAGTATACAATAGGTCGATATTGGTCATGTTTGAGAAATCTGGATTTCTAGAAAAGACAAATTATAATAGACCGGTACTGGTCATGTTTAAGGAGTCTGTGTTTTTGAAAAGACAAAGTTGGCAAAGTTAATCTTTACCTAGAGCATGTATTTCTCCTGGACATAGCCTTTACTTTTTCATCATTGTGTTAGGGTTTAGGAACAATATAAAAAATAGCTTTTCGCTCTTGGTCTGTCCTTTTATTACCCACTCCTGCTCTTGGAAATGTTTTTATGATTTTGGGAAATGGGGCAAAGATCAATCTTTTGTAACTGTTTTTTGCTGAGATGCATTGTAGAGATGTTATTTATTTATTTATTTTTAAGGGTACGAATAAGAAATAGTGGGACCTTAACCAAATATTATTTGGATTTAATAAAACACTGAGCAAGAGTACAGGCAAAAATTATTAAGCAAACATTGATGAGAAAGGCTATTGTCTCAGAAACAATGTTGGAAAAGTGAAAGTAGTTTTGTAAATTATATGTATGATTAAAGCCTTTAATTTATTAACATAAGTTGAATTTTTTTGTAAATTATTTATAGTTGTATTTTAATAATGAAATACAGCCATTTTGACAAATTCTGAAGAAAGAAAAGTTGAAAATATTAGAGACATTTAGTTAGGTTGTAGAGTGCTATATAAAAGGCCTGGCATGTTAGAGAATGGGGAACAAATAATGTGTAGGTTTTATAAAAACCATTATCAGCTATTTTACCATTTTTTATTGAGTTAATTTAGCATTTAAAATCTGTATTGTCCGAATCTGCAGTAAGTTCTCCCCTGTCTTTTAATTTTAGTGATGTCATTTTTTGGCTAGTAATAAATTTTTTGAAAGCTGAAGGCAGAAAGTGTTGAGGTCTATTTTTTTCTAAGTTATTGTGTTTAAGGACAGTTGTGAATGAGCTTTTTATTATTTGGGAAGGGAGAAGAGATTTAAGCCAAGTAATTTTATAAATTATAATTATTTTTTATATTTGGGGAAATAGGAGTTGTATCAGAATGTTTGGCACAATAAAGGTTAAGATGAGACTTAATTGAGAAGGCCAACAGGGTTGTAGTTATTGTGAAAGTTGTTTATTTAGCCAGAGTGATAGTTTAAAGATTTTGAAAAGGAAAAAACCTTGCTTTTTTGTAACAAAGACAGTGGGGGAGGGCTAACTGAATTTTTTTTTTTTCTCCTCTGTTGTTTAAAGGAGAAAATTTTTTTGGATAAGGCTATGTGATTTTAACATAAATGGCCAGGACCAAAAGACTGGCACCTGTGTTAAATTAAGAAATTAATTTGGGTTTTAGTGTCTTAATGTTTACCTGGGGATTGTTGGGGTGATGGTGAGCCAGTGTCAGGCAGTTTAGCAGATTTTTAGGCCTCCATAAGTGACCACCATTTGTGAGTCAAGTGTTCACTCCTCTCTTCAGAAGAGAGTGTACCTGTTTTGTTAATGGCTTTTTGGCCTGCACAGTGTATGAGGTCTAGAAAGTTAAGGGCTTTTGGGGGCAACTATGTTTTTAGTGCCCCCACAGACTGTACCCATAAGTAATGGGCACCATCCCCTTAGCAGGTTTGTTTTTCTCAGGTCTTTGATGGGCACTTGGAGTTTTGGTTGCTAACTGTGATTGTCAATTGGGGGGTCTCTTTGGCCCTCTGGTTTTGTTGTCTTTTATGTTAGCACTTTTAAAAAAATGTTTTGGTTGAAAAAACCTTTTTTAATAGGTTATACATAAGAAATGTTTAAACCATTTTTCTGTTTGTGACAGTCTGATGTAAAGCCCTTTAGAGTGAACAGACCATATGGATGTGTAATGATCTGTTTTTACTTATTTATAATTATGAATAGGCAAAGTTGTTAAAAACCCCTATAAATTATTAAATTGTAGTCTTAGTTGTAAGGTGTGAACAAATAGGTGAGAGTGATCAGTTTTTACCTTTATTGTGTTTACACAGAGTATCTAGTATTTTATCTATCAGGCAGAAGAAGTATTAGGCTTAGTAAAAGTTACTTAACCAGGTGGGAATGTCCGGTTTTAAAATTTTATCATGTCACGCAGGGTGTTTAGTATTTAAAATTTTATCTGTCTCATAAGAGGGTGTTAGTTAGGCAAAACAGGTGATTTAATCTTTTGTTTATAAAATATAACTTTAGTGAGCCTAATATATAAACAGTGGTGTTATTTAGCACTAATGTGTTAACATATGGTAAAGTTGGAAGTAAAATTTTATTAGAGTACTTGTATGTTCGGTTGGAAAAAACAGATTAAAATTATAATTGACCTTTTTTGTAGTTAGTTAATAGGATTAATTTATATGATTCTTTTATTTTTGTTTGGGAAGAAGGTTGATATAGTCTCAGTTTAGATATAATTGAGAGAGACTATATAAAAGACAAACAAGCAAGAACCACAATATATTTTTGTTATAGTCACCCCCCTGAGGAGAAACCTGTTAAGTTATGTGGAAACCTGAATGGGCTTTTTAAGTATATGTGGGGGTGGTGACTTGTTGCAGCAAGTAGGGCTGTTGTCAGGGGGTTAACAAACAGTGGGGGGAAGGGGGTGAGAAGGTTGGAGGCTGGAGTCAGGTGCCGTGGATGATAAATGAGGGATGACTCACCGAAGATGCAGAAAGGCATATATCATGCAGCTGTTGGAGTTTCAAGGTTTTTTTTTGTGGAGTTGCTTTGTCAATCAGAAAAGAGAAGAGTAAAGAAACCAAGCACTTTGTCTCTCAACGGTACGGGCGCTGGTGGTCCAAACTTTTCTTTGAGGACCTTCTTGCCTCCCTAGGGAATAGCCCTAGGCAGAGATCCTCAGCTGTCCTCTGAGATCAAGCAGAAAAATTTTTTATTATATGGTTCAGGGGACTGGAGGGTCGAAAAGTCTGTGACCCCATATTGTCAGACCAGTGAGAAAACCAAAACTGAAATCAGAAATTGAACTGAGACTCTTATTTAGCTAACATCTTGGCCTAATGAATAGTGTCCAAGGGACAGCCTCCTCAGGCCATGACTCCCTTAAACAGAATTACGGCCACAAACAGAACAGATTTTTATCTCCTAGGAGAATGCAGACAGACTCAGGTATTTTTTAGGTGATGGGAAGCCAGTGGTCATTACAACTCCCCCCGGGCCGGGTGAGAGGTTATGGGGCCCTGGAACATCTCAGGGGGCGCCTCCTCTATAACTTCCCCACCAAACTGGGAAGAACCTGAGCAAGACCACCTCACAAGGTGATGAATCTCACTGGGGTCTCTAAATGTTATAGACAGACTGTGAGAAAGGAGTCGCCAACATGCAGAGAGTTGAATTTGAGTCCTTTATTAGCTGGCAATCGAGAGCAGGCTAGTGTCACAAAGAACTCAACCCCGAACAGAGTAAACAGGGGTTTATAAAGGCAAAAACCACAAAAGCTGTATAGTTATGATTATATCTTTTGGTAGAACATGTGCATTTTTGGTTGTGTAAGGGTATAGTTAGATATGGAACTTGTGATTAGGGAGTTTTTAGGCATCGAGGGGAACAAGAATGTGGGCTTCTGATTATGGAAAGGTTATAACATGTGATTATGGGAATGTTTATATAGGGGTGTCATCTCTGGGTATGAACAGCTAAAATGTAGAATCTGCTACAAAATGGAGTTATTTATGTTAAGCAAGTTATTTTAGGTTATTATTGGTTTTACAGATAGATATTTTACAACATGCTTTATGAAATTCAGTAAATCACTCAGAAATGGTTGTATTCAATTCAGCCAATGACAGCTTAAACATTTCTAATGTTCAATCTCTGAACACCTTGGAAATTCAGTGGCAGAGGAGTAACAAGAATTGTTATTAAAGGGGAAAAACGTACTCATGTTGTAGACCAGTCTGGTTATATTTCTCACTGCATTTCACATAATTCCATGATGTCTTGAATTTATACTCTTTTGCCAGTATGTTGAAGGTCTAAGGGATTTTATTCTTGAAAATGATTTGTATTCTTTTCATAAGCTGTCCTCTAACTCGGGGAAGATATTGTCCATATACCACTGAAATGACTTGCAACCCAGTCGTTTCCTTAAGTTAACACGTTCACTGATATTTCCATAGGTAATGGATTTCTGATGAAATCTTCGAAGGAAAATCTCCTAAATGAACATAAAGAGCCATTTCATGCAACCATACTTATTTTTTGTAATCAAATCATAGTATCTAACATAGAAGCATATAATTTTGTCATGTGAACTAAAAAAACCCTCCTGATCTCCTCTGCCAAGGAATGAGAACAGAGACAAACCATGGGACCTCGATTCGACTCACCCAGCACGTGTTCACAGCATGTGCCACAGCACTGCACCGGGTGGTATAGCGGGATCTCAGAAGACTGGGTCCTGCTTCTTAGGAGCCAAAGAATCACAGCCACCCATTGTAGGACACCCTTGCTCCTACTTTCTCAATGATACTCAAGGACAAAACCCCTCGCCTTCTGGTCCCAATCAATACTTCCATCTTTTTAGAAACAGAGGTGTGATGTGGTTCCTGAAGAATGGATTCTGAGGGACAATAGCCTGGGTTCTATATCTGGCTCTGCCCTTAATTATCTCTGTGACCTTGGGCGAGTTATTTGACCCCTCCACTCATGAGGTCTTTGGAAGAACTGAACACTTGAATGCGTTCATGTCAAGCCTCTGGGAGTGGGAGGCTGGCACATTCTAAGCATCATGTTCGAGTCGGTCATTATTATTGTTATTATTTGAGTTGGAGTCTCACTCTGTCGCCCAGGCTGGAGTGCTGTGGCACGCTCATGGTCACCACAGCCTTGTCCTGCTGGGCTCAGGCGAGCCTTCTGCCTTAGCCTTCCAAGTAGCTAGAACTACAGACCTGCACCACCACGCCCAGCTAATTTTTTGATTTATTGTAGAGATGAGGTCTCACCAAGTTGCCCAGGCTAGTCTCAAACCTGTGGGCTCAGGCAATCCTCTCACCTCAGCCTCCCAAAGTACTGGAATTATAGGCGTGAGCACTGCGCCTGGCCTTTATTAACACTCTGTATGTTTAATGGACTCTGTCAGCCTCACGTTAAAAGATGCATCTAAGTAGACCGAAGCCTCTTTGAAAGCAGAATGCATGCAGTTTCTCCTGTGTATTCCCAAGTTCCTACATATGGAATAAAAATCATGTTGATTGGGAGGGAGAGTCTGCTTACCCAAACTAATGTTTTATGGGAATGCCATGTTGGATTATGCCTGGGGACAATTGTGGGTCTTTGCCACCACCTTCTGCCACCCCTAGTTCCCCAGGGCAGATTGATGCGGGAGATGAACCTGGAGGTGGCTGAGGGTGTCATCATTTTGGAGAAAGTGAAGACATGGATGGCCTTAAGCATGTACTGTATCATACAACCCATTGATTTTATACTTAACATTATATGCTTTAAGTTAATTTTTCGGCACTGCATGCTTTATGAAATTCAGCAAGCCACTCAGAAATAGCTGTGTTCCATTTAACCATCTAGATCCATGACTAGAGTTCACAGAAAAAAAAACAACATGGAAATAGCTCAAGATCTCCTGCAACTGAATAAGTGCAATTTTACACAATTATATATCATTTTTAATCTATCCGATTAGAAGAAATATACAGTCTAATTATAACCACTGTGTGAGGACAGGCATTTCCATATATACATTTGATAGCAGTGCAAATGACAGCACAGATCATGAAGGACGGGTTGGAAATTACCCATCAGAATTTAAAATACACTAACTCGTGTCCAAGCAAGTCCAAATATATTCCAAATATATTCCAAAGACATATTTGCACAAATATGCAAAAAATGTATGTAAAGAATGCTCGGGCTGGGTGCGGAGGCTCAGCACTTTGGGAGGCCGAGGTGAGAGGATTGCCTGAGCCCATGGGTTTGAGACCAGCCTGGACAACTTGGTGAGACCTCATCTCTACAATAAATCAAGAAAAATTATCTGGCCATGGGGGCACACACATGTAGTTCCAGTTACTTTGAAGGCTGAGGTGGAAGGATCACCGGAGTCCAGCAGGTGGAGGCTGCGGTGGCTGTGAGCATGCGACTGCACTCCGGCCTGGGTGACACAGTGAGACTCTGACTCAAAAAAAAGGAATGCACATTCAGCATTTTTAAGAAATAACAAAAAGCCTAGATCACCAGATTATTATCAATGGGGTTCTAATCAACGGGATCCATTTTGGTAGATCCATTCAAAGGAACCGTTGAAAAGAATGAGATATGTTTATATGTTCTGATTTTGAAATATGATCATATGATTTTGAAGTATGTTTTCAAAGTGTACTAGCAAGTGAAAACTTTTCAGAACAAAATATTTTTATGGATTTAGTTGCATAAAAAGAAAGGATACCTGTAATCTCAGCACTTTGGGAGGCGGAGGTGAGAGGATTGCCTGAGCCAGAGTTCAAGACCAGCCTGGGTAACTTAGCGAGACTTCATCTCTACAATAAATCAAAAAACTAACCAGGTGGTGTGGTGCACACCTGTAGTTCCAGTTACTTGGAAGGCTGAAGTGGAAGGATCACCTGAGCCCTGCAGGTCTAGGCTTGGTGGCCATGAGTGTACCACTGCACTCCAGCCTGGGCGGCAGAGTGAGACTTTGACTCAACATTTTAAAAAGTACATGCTCATCAGGTATAGCGTGGATAAACAGACCAGGCATGGTGGCTCATGCCCATAATCCCAGCACTTTGGGAGGCAGAGGCAAGAGGATTGCCTGAGCTCAGGGGTTCGAAATCAGCCTGGGCTAACACAATATTGGGTTTTTTTTTTTTCTTTTTTGAATCAAAGTTATTGTTTTGCCCAGGCTGGAGAGCAGTAGCATGCTCATGGTCACCACAGCCTTGACCTGCTGAGCCCAGGGGATAATTCCACCTCAGTCTTCCAAATAGCTGGAAGCACCACCATGCCCAACTAATTTTTTTTTTTTTAATTGGAGCCTCACCCACCCAGGCTGGAGTGCAGTAGCACACTCATGGCCACTGCAGTCTCGACCTGCTGGCTCAGGTGATCCTTCCACCTCAGCCTTCCAAGTAGCTGGAACTACAGGCAAGCACCACACCACCCGGCTAATTTTTTTAAAAATTTTAATTTATTGTAGAGATGAGGTCTCAAGTTGCCCAGGCTGGTCTTGAAACCCTGGGCTCAGGCAATCCTCTCACCTCTGCCAAGCCACTGCATCCGGCAAAAAGCTAGCTTGTAGTAATAATGAATGCTCCCACCAGCAGCATCTGGGAATTACTATGGCTCACCAATGCTTGATCCTATCAGACTTCAAAAATTCTTGGCCGAGTGCGGTGGCTCACGCCTATAATCTCAGCACTTTGGGAGGCCAAGGTGAGAGCATTGCCTGAGCCCATGTGTTCAAGACCAGCCTGGGCAACTCGGTGAGAACTCATCTCTACAATAAATCAAAAAATGAACCAGGTGTGGTGGTGTGGGCCTGTAGTTCCAATTGCTTGGAAGGCTGAGGCGGAAGGATCACTTGAGTCCAGCTGGTTGAGGCTGCAGTGGCCATAAGCATGCCCCTGCACTCCAGCATGAGCGACAGAGTGAGACTCCAACTCAAAAAAAAAAAAAAAAAATTTAAGGAAAACAGAGAAGAGAACAAACATGAGATCTGAAAAGGCAGTAAAAAGCCCTGCTTTGTGCTAACATGCAGCTTTCCAAATCAGTATGTGTTCCTTACCTTATATTCATCCAGCCAAACATGCACCAGTCTTAGATAATTGTGTCGTATGGCTTTCTTAGTTGCAGGACTTTCTTGAAAGTGTTTCTTAGCGATATGCCCTACTCGAGAGCAGGGGATTATAAAGATTTGTCCTCCACACATCCAGATCTAGGCATAAGAGAAACAAAAACCATATCAATGAATTTTGCTAGTAGTAGGCAATGGCTGGATTTTTTAAACAGACATAATAATACCTAATATTTATTAAGTTTCTTATTTCATTTAATCCTCACAACAGCCTTATAATGTAGATACTGTGATATCCCCATTTTACAGATGAGGAAACTAATACATAGATTGGTTAAGAAGTTTGTCCTAGTCAAACGCAGTGGCTGAAACTTGTAATCCCTTCACTTTGGGAGGCTGAGGCAAGAGGATTGCCTGGGCAACTTGACAAGACCTCACCTCTACAATAAATTTTAAAAAATAAAAGAAAGAAAAATTAGCTGGGTATGGTGGCACATGTCTGTGGTTCCAGTTACTTGGAAGGCTGAGGTGGAAATATCACCTGAGGTCAAGGCTGTGGTGGCCGTGAGTGTGCCACTGCACCCAGCCTGGGAAACAGAGTGAAACTCCTACTCAATTAAAAAAAAAAAAGGCCAGGTGCTGTGACTCATGCCTGTAAACCCAGCACTTTGGGTGGTGGAGGCAAGAGGATTGCCTGAGCCCACGGGCTCGAGACCAACCTGGGCAACATGGTGAAACCTCGTCTCTACAATAAAAAAAAAAAAAATTAGTCAGGCATGGTGGTGCATGCCTGTAGTTTCAGCTACTTGGAAGGCT